TACACTGGCAGCTCTCAGTGTCCTTGGAGAGACACTGGCCCAGGAGCTTTTGATTAACCCCACCCAGGAAAGGCTGTTGTCATGTTCCTTCCAGAACTCTTCACAGGTTAAATCTGTATCTGAGATCTTCTGGAAGCACAGGCGGCCAGCACTCGGGTTATAACTCAAGACTCACTAAATTTCCAGTTGTAACCCAAGTTATTTTTCAGGCTGGTCATAGCTCCAGGGTCCACTGTACTTTGTGTTCTTTGGTGTCAATTTGTCATTGAGATTAACTGAATCTTAGTGAAAACAATTTAGTTTCCCTGTAGCTTATGGGTAGCCCTATGGGAATTCTGGTCTGCAGGCTGAGTACCTAAGGTTCCAGCTAGAATGCCCTTTCCCTGGAGACAGGTAAACCAGAAGCCAGCTCCCCTGCCAGTTCCCATGTGGGACCTAAAAGATCCGGTCCACCTGCCGTCAAAACCTAAGCGACTTAGAAGTTGCAGCTTAAAAAGGAAGAGATTTTTCCACTCTTGTGTTAAGCCTGCTGTTCAGATTCTGTAACAGGGTTTTTCTGATGTGCCTGCTTCATCAAAAACAAAGCATTTCTGCTGTCAGTTCTGAATGTTCGAACTGGAAGGTAAATACATGCAATGAGTTCAACAGATGGCTGTGAACTGCTCTTCTAATGCTGATGTCCAAGTGCAAACGAGGTGGAAGGAGACAGAGGTCATTTTGAAACTCTGCCAGTTGTTCAGGAATAAGGCAGCTTCAGAAATGAGCACCGGAGAGTATGGAAGAAAGAACAGCTTTGGCTCAATCTTTATAATTCTGTAATTACTCAGTGCCAGACATGGAATTCCAGAACTCATTTTGTTACAACTGCCAAAAACAGCAGCCAACAAATACCCTAAGTTGGACACTGTTTTCAAGACAGCCCTAGTGCAAGATGGTCCAAGTGGAGGCAAGCGAGGAGTACCTGAGCTGACAGCTGGGTGTGTGGCCAATGGTCTCATTGCTCAAGGCTGGCATGTGCACAAAGCCTCCATCCAGATGCCACCCGCTGGCTAAGGGGCATTCAAATTCCTCTGCTCATAGTCACAGGATTCAGGAATTTTGTAACTGTGAGATAGTTTGAAACTTGTTTCTGGATCAGAATTCCAAGATTTTGCAGCTTTTTCTGGGCTGCAGCCAAGGTTTCCACATGTACCATTTCAGGAGCTGGATCTTTCCTGGCTCACTGACCATGAAGCCACCTTGCAGTGACCAAAAGTGAGGTGTGCACTTGTAAAGGCTTGATGTTGGAGTCTGTCACTCTCCATTTGACCTTCTGGTTTGGACTTCTTTTCTGGTACTAGGGCCAGGTGCGCCCTACCACTGAGCCACATCCCCAGCCCTATTCACTCATTCATTCCTTCTTTTTGAGACAGGGACTTGCTAAATTATTCAGACTGGCTTCCAAACTAATTCTCCTGCATCATCTTTTGGAGTAGTTATGATTACAGACATGCACTGCCACACCTGATAATCAGGGTTTCCTTCCACTGCCTTGATGGAGAAGTTTTCCTGAAGTCAGTCTTCTAACACTGTTTTATTCTTCCTTTATAGCTAAGCTTTTTCTGGTACAGGGTGATTTCTATTTTTGTTGTTGTTGTTCTTCAGACTTGGTAAGACCATACTTGAAACAAAAGCTATGGTGAACCGAAAAATTGAGTTTAAGTAATGACTTTCTTTTTAGTGCTGGTAACTGAACCAAGGGCCTTTTGCATGCTAAGCAGGCTTCCTACCACTGAGTTACACCCCTGGCCTGTAAGGAATTGCTTTTAAAATTACAACATCAAGACTACTGTAAACATACCAGACCTCAAGACTTATATACAGACATTAAAAAAAAATCTCGTCTGATAAAACCTTGGCAACAAGAAATAGGTGCCCATTTATTTTAAAAAGCTAGGTCTATTTATACCTCAATTTTGTATCCAGTTCAGACAAATTTCTGGACTATTCTTAAAAGAACTGAGGGAGTCTCACAGGCTTGACCCATCATATACCAAACAGGAATACTGACCCTTTTGAGGTGGTGCTTTCCTCTTCTAGAGGTGCATACACATTGTGCATATCATATTTTATGTGTGAAAGTGCTTACTCCAGTGCTCTTTAAAAACATCTCAAGGACACAAATTGATGAAGGTATATTTTTGCAATAGAAAGAACCTGTTATATGCTATCTTCCTAAACTCAACTCTACAAACTCTATGAGTACAGGGCTAGGGAGAGTAGGGGGCAGAGTCTCATATTATGAGATGGGAAATAGTACTTTCAGTGGAGGCTACAGCGATGCACCTATCTGAGCCTGGGGATGCCACTTCCTCCTCTTCAAAGTCACCCAGAAGCAACGTCTGTTTTGGGTGTCAGTGTACAAGGCCAGCTCTCCTTCTGTGTCTTTCTTGGCCACCACCCCAATTACTTCCTAGGTGCCACAGGTTTTCAGGTGTGTACAGGAATAAGCCTCCTGCAATTTGTTTCCTTCCTGGCATTCTACATCTTGGGAACCTTACAGGAACATAAGGTGTGAAAACCTAAGATTGCCACATGGAGGTACTTAATGTATGTAACAGAAGCAAGCCTAGTACTCTGTGCTTGCAGATATTCAACATTCTCCCTTCGCCAAGTCCAACAAAAAAATTGCCATCCTGCCTACAGATACACATGTGAAGATAATCAGTTGCCCCTGAACCTCCTACAATTTTAAACTTCTCAGTGAGGCTTAACAGGCGGATGACACCACAGGAAAGGGACCCTCATGGTACTTACCCTGGGAAGTGCTGCTTCCAATTCAAATGGACCATCACTGCTGGACTCAGCACCCAGAGCTGCCATCTCCTTTGGTTGACCATTGCAGACCAGCATGGGATCCCACTCCTTTCCCTCTCTCTCTACATTGTCAGATTCTTTTGGTTTCACAAATACAGAATTCTTTCAAGTCCCTCCTGGGTTGAGTCTTTGCAACCCAACCAGCAGCAGCTCAAGCAGCCTGGTGCTTCTAAGGCCATCAGTGTGTGGTCTGAAAAGTTTTCCAAACCCAAACGGCTGGCCATAGCCTGTGCGACTAACTGAAAACAGTGTCTGTCTCACCAACCTTTGGGCAGTGAGGAGGTGTTCTATACATTTGTGCAGTCAGGGATAACAGGCATTAGAAACATCTGGCAAAACATCTGAAATGTACTTGGTGCTACCGGTAAGCTGAATTTTAATAAAATTAAGTTTAAATAGCTAAAAGTGCCCTGCAGTAACTAGACTGAACAGTGAAGCTCTAAAGGAATAAGGTTTTGAGTGATGAGATAATTTTTGGATAGCATTTTTTATGAATCAAAGTGATAATAAATTTATAACAACCTGTTCACTTCTCTTACCTGTTGTAGCTCCTCTTGAGTGAAAATACAAAATAAAAACAGCAACAGTACACAACCCATATTACTTTAACACCAATCTGCCTTGAATACAACTAGTAATTTTTAATACATGGGAACGTCACAGTCAAAATAATAAACCAAAGGCAGCAAAACAAAGAATTAGAAAATAAGCATACTAGAAGTTATTCATGTTTAATGCTTAAAAGTCTGAATGCACAAACAATCTACCATTATAGAAGTACTGGTGGTCAATACAATGCATTAGAACTATGTACAATGCACAGTTTAGTATCAAAATCTTTCTACACTGTAGAGTTTTACGAAACTGTTAATGACATCAAACACTAAGCACTTAAGACACCATTTTTTTCTGCTACCACATTAGGAACGTCAATGGACAGTCCATTTCAACTTGCAGCCTCCATCCATTTCTAGTATGAAATTAATTTTCTACGTATACAATAAAGTTTATCTACACGGTTCTTTTGATTTTGATCCATAGCAGCAAAGGCACTGTACATCAGCAGATCCACAGACTTAAAAGATTTTTTTTTAAAGCATTCAAACGAAAAATAATCATAAAAAAGGAGTCACATATTATAGTTTAACAGCAACAACAACAACATAAAAGATAACACAATGTTTCTGGCACAATGGCACAGCTTGTGTCCACTTCAGGGACATCCAACTAAGACATGGAAAGAACCGGAGGAAAAGAAAGCAAGTCCTCAGCACAGGAGAGAGTCCGTTCTTTTGTGTTTTCCAGAGGGAGGTCTCTGCAAACCTTCCTCTGCTGTCCTTGTTTTGTAAAAGACTTGACTTGCACAGCAGTAGGGAGTCCTTCCTGTATCTGTGCAGCTCCCAAAGAGCATGCCACAAAATAGCCCATCATTTCTTCGAACAACAAAACTGCCCAAAGATACACATCTCCCTTTGCAAAGAAACATGGCAAAAATATCCAGAAGGGATTAAGTTCTCTCTGAGGCCGAATTTAACATGTTCATTTGTCTATAGTACAATTTTAAAAAGGGAATTAAAAACATATTACAAAGACATTTTTCAACAAGTCAAAAAAAAAGGAAAAAAATGTTCAATTACTTGTCTCGAATATCATCTAAAGCTATAGGTATATTGGTTAAAGTTGTCCATATAGACTCAAATGAATATGCCGTGGCCTGTCATGTTCTAATTGTTCAGCCAGATTTCCAAATATCTTTTAAAATAAGTAGAAAACAGAAATAAACAAACAAAAAAAAAGGTCTAAGAACAACACAGCAACATATTGCTTCCATGTGTAATTACACATTTCACATCTCTATACAGTTAATAGTCTACACTTAGTGACATTTTTAATCAATTATTTTAAATCTTCCTTTCCCCCCCTTTACCAAAAAAAGGGGGGGAAGTGTATCAAATACAACGCACCTTCGTTATCAATGCAGGAGCAGACAGCTTTATTTAGTCAGTCATTGTTAGAAAGCCTTCTTTAAACAAAATAAATATATTACAAATATAATACATAATTAAAGATTCCATTCACTGTTAAGTATGCTTATTCCATGTTCTTCCAAATAGACAACTGAAGATTTGGTATCACAGGTTCTTAAGAGTATTCACAATTCAATAGCAAGGAGGAAGTGGGGTTAAGGAAGGGAATTAAACTCCACAACTGCAATGAGCATTTGAAATCCTTAGTTTTAGATGCAGGGAAAGGGAGTGAACAAACAAACGGATAAACAAAAAGATGAGAGCGCAAAGTGCTACAAGGAGGAGTCCAATTCTCATGAAGATTTGTCCTTAATAAATAACTTCATAGACTGTGGCCTTCTTGTCTCCTGAGCCGGTGACGATGTACTTGTCATCCACAGAGATGTCACAGCTCAGCACCGATGAGGATTCTTTGGACTAAAAAGGAAGCGTATAATAAAACACGTTAAATAAGAGAGGAAAATCCTATAGAGCTTGGACGCAGGCCCTGAAGACTTGAAGAAGATGTGAAGGTAACAGGCTCCATGGAGCAAACAGGAACTGCACTGGGGAAAGGCAGGCACAGGCTTCCTAAAAATGGAAGCACTGGATTGGGCCTCGGGGACACCAGGGAGGTAGGCGAGCCGGGGGTATGAGCACTCAGGCTGATGAAACAAGGAAGTCCCTATGTCTAGACCTATTCTCCAGACAGTGAAGTCAGGCATTATTGGTCTGCAAATCCTTCCACTTTCATCAGATGATCTGGATCTAGGTGGAGTTCAGATCAGCAGACGCATCCCTCAACCTGTCTGAGTCTCAGTCCCCTTCAAAGGCAAAGAGGCCGACAATGTCCCTGTCCTACCACCTCAGAGTTCACGGAAGTAATACACGGGCAACAGAACGGAAAATACTGTTATTTTCTGAGATAAGTAAAAATACCAGTAAGAAGCCTAATGCTCTCAGAGGGAAAATACAACACAGACTTCTAAGAGGAGAGAGCTTTGACAAATGGAAAGAGAAATATACCGGACCTAAATGCTTTGTGTGCAGCGTGCATGCTATAAAGGGGTTAATGTTAACTTTAAATGTACTGTGCTGTGCTCATTAAAGAGAGAAACAACAAAAATCACAGGATTTTAACCAAGACACTAATGAGTACTGTCTGATCATAGCATGTTTCTCAAACTTTTCAAAAAATTCCAACTGAACTCCAATTTAGGTTCAAAGCCCAGTACACATAGAAAATGTGATACCTATATCTACTACTATAAAAGATGTACTCTAATTTTTTATTTCATTTGTTTGAAGAAGTGATGGCTAGAATGATATAAAAATATATGAATTTATATGAAAATAACATATGAAAAGGCCCACTGTAATTTATGAGCTTCATGACAGCCAACAACCAACTGTTTTTGTCTTACTGACTATACTCAATATATTTTGGATTCAACTGAATTAATCTACTCTGATGACTTAATAGCCCTTGGTCAAGCAACCACGAATCTGTTCTATTATTTCTAAAAAAAGAACATTAGGCAGTATCCTAAATATAGAAGACTAAAAAAGTGAAATCTTGAACTAACTTGCCTATGAAATTCTCACTGATATTGTGTGTGCGCACATGCACCTTGTCTATAATTTGGTCCCTTTACAAATAATTTAATAAAGAAAACAAAGTTCCCACTGAGGCAATAGGAAAATAAAATCAATCAAGATTTACTCTATTGTTCTATAATGCTCTTCTCTGGTGATAAAAATAGAGCTGAGAATCCTAAAGAGAATATCGAAGCAAAATACTCAAGTTTTACAATAAAAAAAAAATTTTTTTAAAGACATACACACACACGAAAATTTCACAGAAGACTCAAAACTTCCATCCTGACATGTCAAAAGAAACGAAGGCGTGCAGAGGGTCCCCAGTCCCAAGCCTCAGGGTTGTGTTGCTCAATGCCCTTCGGGCACCCCCTCCTCTGTCCACTGGGCACAACAGTCAAACATCCAGGGCTCTCAGGTGCATTACGCCTCTGAGAGGACACGTGGTGTGGTCTAAGTCAGCTCGGTGTTACCTGGAATATGCTGGCCCCATAAGGTGTCCTCCAGGCATTCAGAAGGTTGTCCTTTCCAGTGCTTACAAACCATTTGCCTACAGGAAGAGGGTTTCAAAACAGGCAGCATAAGCGTTACCCTGTCAGTTACCAAGATTTGCCTTACAGAGAATAACACTCCTCACAGAAACCCACTCCACTTGTAACAAACAGGAGTTTTGCCCCTCCCGGTCTACTCTCCTGGATTTACTGAGCCATTTATACTTACGATATGGATGAAGTCAATTAACACCAGAAACCACATGGTATCAGGGAAGCAGGCATCGTGAAGAGTTAATACAATTCTGAAGGATCTGACTTAGATTCTATCAATGACAGTGGAAGCAATGGTTTCAGCTGACAGTAAAAGAACAAAGGGGCTTGCTTACCACAGTGGGCAAACTTGAGGGACAGCACACAGCTCTCGTGAAGATGCAACTGGTATTTGTCCGGCTTGGTGACGTGCAGCACTTCCACGTTACTGTTCTCCATCCCCACTGCAAGCCACTCTCCAGTTGGACAGTAGCCCAGAGAAAAGATCTAGAATTAAAACAGGTGATTGTGGCTATGGAGGATAGACTGCTTTTTGTTGTTTTGTTTTTAAACCAGGAGGTACTGTCTCTTTGGGGGACACTGTAAGAAGGAAATCAAGATAATCTGAATTGTATAGGAAGAAACCAAAGCTGAGTGGAGGAACCCAAACTAACCTATGGTCAGAAGGGCCACCCCTTCTTCTGGTGCGCTGTGTTTCATCTGGAACATCGCGGGCCCACAGCTCATACCTGCGAGGTGAAGTCGTGCTGCTGCAGCTGCCGCCCCTCGCGCAGGTCCCAGGACCTGACGGTGTTGTCCAAGCCGCCGGTCCAGAGCTTGGTGCCGTCATTAGAAATGTCAATACAGCTGGCTCCGTCTGTGTGGCCCTGGAACTGCCTGAAACAGTCAAAATGGAGGGTATGCCCTTGAAAAGTTAGTTTATAACGGAACTCAATGTGGAATTCCTTGGCAATCGATTTCAATGCAGGTCTACTTATCTGTAGATTTCACTATGGTTTGTTATGTTTTCTAATTATTCAAAGCAATACCAAAACATATTCAGGTAGTTCTCCATATCCATGAGGTTTTTTTGGTACCGAGGATTGAACTTGAGACCTTGCACTTCTGAGGCAGGCAGCGGAACCACTGAGCTAAATCCCCGGCCCCTATGAGTTCTAATTTACGGATTCAACAATGCATAGATAACATTCAGAAAAAAATTGTCTGTACCCAACATGTACAGACTTTTTTCCTTGATGTTATTCCCTTAACAACAGAGCATAACTACTTACATAACACTTGCCTTTTACTAGGTATTCTAAATAATCTAAAGATTATTTAAAGTATGCAAATACCACGCCATTTTACACAAGGTACTTAGACATTCTTGGACTTTAGTATCCTCAGGACATCCTGAAACCTATCTCAACAAATTCAAAGGATGAAGGCATGAAGGAATCCAAGTTTAATACACCTGATAAATTTCCTGTTTTTAAATACTTAGTCAAATCATTTATACCATGGATAAAAAAGAAAATCAACTAAAACTAACAAAAGAAAAATATGTACCTATCTGAATATGATCTAGCCGGCGATAATTTTGAGACCTTTCTGTCACTGCAATATGGAAGAGGCTGTGCAGATTATTTTCCCTTCTGCAGAGGACGGGACATCCCTTCCGTGGGGACAGCACAGGGGACATGAGAACGTATAGTGCTAGAGAGCAGCAACCTAAACGTCATGCTCTCAAGAGGACACCGAGGGCTCTTGATAGGACTCAGGCCCAGGGTTCACTCCTGGTAAATGTACACAGTACCCCGGGAAAGGAGTCAAAGCAGCCCCACATGAGCCTTACCCCAAAGCAACAAGTGCGATGACTATTTTGTTTCTGAACTGTATAGAGTAAAGCCCTTCAAAATTAAAGACAGGGAGTAAAGGCTACTTCTCTTTACAGACTCAAGTTGCCTTCTAGGTAGGGTTGACTATAACCTCACACCCTTTAGCTGATCACAACCCTTGGTTAGTGATCTTAGGGGCAGACAGCTGGAGAAACATTTCAGGACCTCTCCTACCAATGTTAAGCCTATACAATCTCATTTCCAAATAAACACTGGTGTTGGGACTATCTGTCCTGAAATATGAGACTACAGGTAATCTAAAGCATTTTGGGGTAAACAGTCCCTGGGCCGATGGCAAGAGCTAAGGAGCAGACTGGTGAGTGAATAAGTCAAGATACATGTGCCACCTAAGACTACGTCATGCACTGAGAGTCTTTTCAGTGGCTCACTGAGAGCCATCGACAATAATTTATTAGCAAGCACATATGGCAAATGATCTCATGAGGACACAGCAAACTTATGTAGATTAATTATGTCAAAGTGACTTCATTTTTAAAAATCTGAATTGGTGATGCTGAGTACATAAGGCCAAGAAGGAAAAGAGAGCTACTCATTTTATGAAGTATAGTTTAGAAAGACTTTACATTAATTTTGTCGGCAGCATCTTAAAATGGACCACTAACAATTTTTAGTGAGATAATTATAATCCCTCTGGTTGGACACCCACACCCACACTCACTCACAGAGCGCTTTAGTATAATGCAGGACAATCTTCTTCTCCTCTAAGTAGATCCCACTGACCTACCTCACCAGCGTCTGGTTGTGCAGGTCCCACACGGCGATGTTGCCGTCGCTGCAGCATGAGAAGCAGACCTTGGAGTCGGGGCTGATGGCCAGGGCGTAGCAGGCGGGGGCCGAGGACGTCAGCTCTGCTTTGATGCGCGGGGTCGGAGCCGCCAGGTCCCAAATGGACAAAGTACTGGCTTCCCCTCCCACGATGAGGGTGCGACCATCAGGGAGCAACCTACAGGAGCGGATGTAGTTATCCCTGTTCTGCAGAGACAAAACCCATCAAAGGATTACTCATGAGGAAAGGAAAACAGTGTTAACACGAGAGCAGAAATCCATAAAAGTATTGTGTTCCCTCCTGGTTTAATGAGCCAATGATACTTATGACAATGATAAAGTAGATTAATGCTGGAAAATTACATGAAATTAAGGAAGTACTTAAACTTGATCTACAAAATTTAGTACTGAGATATTTAATCTTAATTAGCATCACAACGCACAGCTCTAGATCAAGTACGCGTGTCACACAGATGTTCACACACACTCACGCAGCTCTCACAACCCTAAAACGCCCAGTTCAACACTGTGGCTGCCAAGGATCCTGCTACTGCGGTCACGACCTCCAGAGCTGTTTCCTTCTACCTGGCCCCATGTTACCAACTCAAGGGCCACCATGAGTTTGACGAAGCCAGATCAAATGGAGGAGAGATTTGATCAAGGGGTATTAAGTGGCAGGAGAAGGAATTCCCCTCATTCTTCAGATTATAGGAATCTAACATTTAATGATGTCAAAATGACTTTGCCTCCCGATGCACCAACACATTTTACTGATATAAGGCAGGAAAACCAGGCTAAAATGTCCTAGGAAACCCAAGGACAGATGTCAACACGATAGCTAAGAGGAACCCTAGTGTTTGGCACATGAGGTAGAAAATGACTCTCTAAAATATGAAGATTTCTAGGTGCACTTTCACGGAAAGCAGGTGTACATTCATTTTAAGTTTTTTTTGTTTGTTTGTTTATCTGTTTATCATTCAGTTAAACAAGCAGTTTGCCCGTCAGGGTTGGAAACCTACACTGAAGCTTGTGCCACATACAACCAACTGCAGTTGTGCCTCAGGAAGCCCAAAACGACATGACGTGCCCTGGTCCTGCTCACTCACCAGACAGTCCAGCTGAGAGACAGGACTCTTGTTGCCTGGGTGGCTGATGTCCCACACCTTGACACAGCCCTTGCCGCCCGTGTACACGTGTCGCGTGGGGTTGCTGATGGTCACCGCGCACACCACCTCCCCGTGGTTGAGCGTGTTGATCTGGCGAGCGTGTCGGGGGATTCCGGGTCCAATAAGGGCATCCGGGGGGAAGGGGACCGGCTGCATCTGACCATCTGCACTCACGTGGAAGGAATAGGCTCTAATGAGAGAAGAATGTACAAAAGATTTTACTAAACTTCTCAGTGTAACTAGAAAAAAGACATTTTCAGTGCTTCTTGAGATGTACAAGCAAGTCAAATTTACTTGTCCACTGGAAATAACACAAGCTTCAAAGTCACACCACTAAATCCACAATCAAATCTCAGCCTGGCTGCTGTGTATCACTCACTAGTTACTTACCCTCTCCGAACTCTACTTCTGATCTCTAAAAGGGAGAACATGTACCTAACTCTCAGAAAACTAACGATTACTAATGTCAAAATAACTGTCATATACAACGCCTACTCTTTTAGGGGCCCTCTACCAATGTGCACTTCTATTTACAGCAACTCTGAGGTCTGTGATCAGATCTTGCCTAAAGATCAACTTACTCCAATCAAGTGACTAAACTAATGGAAATCAGGAAGCTAAGACTGTGAAGCTCTCAGGAGCTAAAAATCTTCAGGCATAGATCACAGATGATGAGAAGGCAGATGTATTAAAATTTAAAGCCCCATTTTAACACTGACTAGACTTTATAATCACAAATCCTAGTGAATCGGAATTGCAAGAGGACACAAAAAGTACACGTGTCAGCCCCCCCAGGACGAACAGTGAGTGCCTACTGGCAGCAATACCTCCAGTTCATAACCAAGGAAAGCCCTGCAAGTGTGAAAGCATCCAGTCCTAAAATGCACCTGAACTTGGGATGGGACAAGTGGGCAGCCAGGATACAGGCTGGGCTCTGGGCAGGAGATCCCACTGGCAGGAGGGAGCTGGGTCCGTCTTGGGGGCTACCCATTTGGAAAATTATGTCACGCTCCTTTGGTATGGAGTTGGGGCACATGCTGTTGATGGGAAGAAGTTTAGAAAAGACATAACAAAGGGCACTTATGGGTGTACCAAGCATAGGAGCTTGAACTGAACCACGGGGAAGTTTAGAATCAAAAGACAAGTTTATAGGTTCTTAATGTGAAAATCCATAGGCCTGCCATGTTTATCAAACTTTAGTCCATAACTGAGGAGTCTTCATCAGCTACCTAAATGTTCGCAGAAAGATCAATCAAGAGTACGCTGCGGTTGTGCAAGGTGTGGTGGTCAGATGTGGAGTCCTTTGCTTTTTCTGAAGACTACAGAGTTGAGGAAGAAAGCAGCACGTAGACCTATTGGATGGGATGGAGGTGGGAAGGCAGGAAGCCAATGAATAGAAGCTAACCCTGGAGTGAAATCAATAGGACTTAGAGACACACTGGCTGTGGGATCTGAGACGACAGGAGGACTCTAAAATTTAGGGCTTGGTGACTGCAAAAACTAGTGAAGCTGTCAAGGACACCTAACTCAATGGTACAAGCTGAGGGGGTGTTCAGGATTTGTCTTTACTGAATGTGAGGGCTGATGAAAAATGGAAAAGCTTTGATTAAGGAGTGCTGGAAATAATGTATGGTCATCCACAAACAAGAGAAAGCTGAAGCTCTGGGGTCGGAAAGAGTAATCCTGGAGCACATTATGTGGTAAGAAGCACATCAGCTGCCCAATCTAAGCGAAGGCTTAGAGTTAAGGAATCTCCAGCAAGAATAGTCAGAGAGGCAAGTCAATTATTAACAGAGACAGTAAGTGGAAAGGAGAAGAGAGTCAATCACATCAAAATGTACAGAGAACTTCATCCACTTAACATATTTCTTGAGTACCCTTGCGTGCCAAGCTCTATTCTCAGGATGGGGTGAAGAAGAAACCCACACACCCCATTCTCCTGAGCAGCTGGTGGGGCTGAACAGACAGCACACGCATTAGTGAGCTGCTTACATGAATAACTATAAAAAGATCAGGAGGTCAGCATTGTGAACAACAGAAGCTCCTTTCCTTGGTACTGCGGGAATCTCAAGACAGTATGTTAAGAAGGAATATGGAAAAACTGAAAGCAGAGCGAGAGAGCAAGCTCATTTAGCTCACATTTATTAATAGCTTCATACATTCAAGACACTATTAGGTAAGAGGGAATCAGAGGTGAAAAAGCCCCTGTTTTCATATCAGCCTACATCTTAGAAGGGAAAGTGCCGAGTGGGAGTAGAACTGCCATGTAGAAGGAACAGTCCTTGAGGCTGGAGTGCATTCAACAGAGTGAAAGGATATGGGGTTGAAGAGAGAGGCAAGGGCTGTGTGTGTAGGCTGTGAGGAGAAGTTTGGATATCACTGTAAATACAAGGCAAGCCGCTGGGAACTTGTGCAAGGGAGTGACATGATTCAGTTAAGAAATCAAATGACCACTGTGGCTGCTGGATGAAGAATGGGTTGCGGATGGCAGGTTCACAAAGGTAACTAGTCAAGCTATTGCTGGAGACAGACCAGGGACTGGGGCTTGGGAGACAGGAAGCTGGAGGCGGGATTTGCAATTTAAAGGTTGTGGCTGGGGTGGGATACCAGCGGTCATGACAGACTGTTATGAGCCTGAAAATCCAGGTAACTGAAGTTGAGTAGGGCAGACAGTCACTAGAGAAGAGGTGGTCCAAGGAACAAAGTGAAGTTACTATGTGAGACTGTCCTTGTGGACACCAGAGTCACCCTAAATAATAGTTGATTCTGGGTAGAAAAAGACTCTAAGCCATGTGCAAAGTCCTTAATAAACTGGGAGAAAACCCAAGCAAAGTAAAAGAGGGTAAAGTCAAATGGCACAGGTCTGAAAAGAAGCAAGGTTTTCAATGAAGGGAAGAGTTTTTAGTTTTGGTAGTGTCTGGGAAAAAGGGAGCAGATGAACCAGATCAACTCCACCACTGGCCCTGCGGATTGCTGAATATGAGCAAAATGTGAAGTCACCCCCACCACCAACCCCAGCTTACAGAGTGGCATGTGAAGGAGTGACCGACCTCCAGAGAGAGCCAACTTTCAGTTCAGGCAAGGAGAAGGACAGGTAGTATGCGCATAAAGAAAAAGTTGAGACCCTGAGGGATGATACCAAGAAAGGGCTAATTAATTTAGCAATTAAGAGGTCATAAAGACTAAACATTAAGAGGAAGGTTATTCCAGGTTCAGATGGTGTTATACATTCTTAATGATAATTTCTTTAAAAAGCCATCCCTTTCTTCCCTCTAGAATCTCAAAATGGTTTTTAAAGATATCTGAGAATTTAAACAGTTAAGAAACCAGACACAGTTTCACCAAGGTCATGAACAGAAAGTTCTTCAGCTTCATCACTCAGTGAGCACCTCCTGTGTTCTTAGAACTTCCTTTTAGAGGATACAAATGAACCTCAAGATCCCAACTGCATAAAGGATATAGTGTGTCTTCTGTTCACTATTAGTATACACGCAGAATTCGGGGTTGGAAAAAAACAAAGCTCCAGTACACACCATCTTTAAAACAGCTCTTTGATGTGTAACTAGTAAAAAGTACTGGGGAGTGTAAGGAGATCAGCATTTCCAGGAGTCATCTCAGTCATTTCTAGTTAGAATCTGAGGCTCAGAGGGCTATTCTCTGCCTACCACAGTAAATGCCTCAATACTCTGTGTAGTAACTACAATCTAGCCAGGTGCTGTGAAACAAACAATACGCTGAGAAGAGAGCATTATAAGGCAGCTCGCCTAGTTCATAAATGGCTTATCATGTAGGAATGCTGATCAGAAAATTATCAAAGCGACTACATACCGGGTCACACGCCAATGGGAATCATGATTCTGAGGTGGTTTGAAGAGAAAGATAAATGTTTCATGACAGACATGGTATCAGTCGTGAGTTTTAAAGGAAGGAAGGATTTCACCACGGAAGGAGGAAGATGAGAAAAATATGTTAGTAGGCAGGAAGAATGCAGAAGAGAACAATTTTAGTATAGATGCAGCTGAAGCGAGCAAAGAGAAGAGAACAACTCGAAAGGAGGAGGGGAAATGGTCTGGGAAATCCCTGCGTTGGTTTCAAATCTGTTTATCCCTACGTGACCCCAGAGCAAGTGTTTGGGGGAAGATGTCCAGAGCAGTGTGATCAAATTTGGCAGCTGCACATCCGCAAAAGGGAAAGTGTGGAGTGCTGGCCCGAGAACTTCAAAGAGGGGATTAAAAAGTTTCTGGGTGAAGAGAAAGTGTGACACTACTGGGGCAAAACCACTAAAGACATAAACTTAGCTGCAAGGAACAGGACGCCACTATAGTTTGGCTCTGAATACATTCCAAAGGCCTAGACCAGTGATGTGAGCCTTTCAGAGATGAGCGCCCAAACTGCAACCCAAAGCCTACTTATTTATTGCAAAGTGCCAACACTGCAATTAAACCGGAACACTGAGGTTTCATTTAGAAAAAACAACGCTCATACACCAACACCTTCTGAGTTAAGAGAAAAACAGTAGTCTAGATGTTCCACCACTGGCCTGGATAAAGGCTTGGTACTAAGGGGTGGTGGAACCTTTAGGCGGAGGGCTCCGGGATGAGGTAGGACGAGTGGAGGTTACCACGGCACACCTATCTTTCCCTCTGTGTCTTGCAGGCTTACCTCCTGGTGCCCTGAGATGAGCAACTTCCTTTGTCCCCCCTCCCCATGCACACTGTGACATATTTGCCTTGCCACAGTCTAGGAAGCAAGAAGCCAACTGACCGTGACTGAAATCTGAGCCAAAACAAAACCTTTCCTCCTTATACATTCACTGGGGCAGGTATTTTTGTCAATGATGGAAAGGTGACTACCGCAAATGAGTAAGAGGAATAGAAATGACTATCCTCGAACCTTGGCAAGAGAACTCAGGGACAAGAAGTGGCAAGGAAGACAAGATGGAAGTAACCGCGGATGTAAAGTTCGGCAGGACTTAAGGAATGAGATGTGGTAGGGAGCTGATAATGACTGAGTTTCTGAGAATCAGGAAACCAGAAACCCGATACTAGCAAATAGGGAAGGAGAGCTAATACGTGACAGTACTTTCTGAACAGAACGAATCTGGGGTATAAGTAATACACAAGCTGTTTAGTTAAGACATGCAACAAATAGCTAGAAATGTAAGACTGAAGAGAAAAGGTACAGAGAGTGAGGCGGTGACCACAACTTGCATGTGTATGCGCACGTACACACACACACACACACACACACACACAGCAAAAGCTTAAGAGCAAAGAGCAGTCCTCCAACAGACCTGGGGAAGCAAGTGGACAGCTGGGAAAAACGTTCAGTCTGGAGATTAGGATAGGACCGTACTGTATTTTAAACTTTCAGTGGGGTCTAATATGTGAGTTCAAGTTGTTATTTTATTTACATCACCATCTTTTGATGGAAAGTTCTTGGCCTTCCTACCTCTACCTCATTTTTCCTTGATAAAGAAGCTCGGTTCTGTTATGTTAAAGTCATCTTTCTCAGACTTTATAACATCTTCAAGTTTTCAATATCTCACAAGGTAAGTTTAAAGGTTGGATTCATAATTAATGGTCTGAAGTATGATAGAAAATTAGCATAGAAACCCACCAGTAAGTCAGATGACAATATAATAACTTTTACTGTTCACTAGATATTATTCCTATTTTGAAAGTCTTATTGTATTAAAAACAAACTCATCTTCAAAGAAAGACTTCTGAACTGTGAGCAGTCCAAAGTCCATAAACCTGTGATCTTGTTTTTGCTGCATTTGAACACCAAATCTCATGATGTTATTAGTGATTGGTTTTAATCAAAAAGTTATACACTACTTTAAAAAGTCTCACTTTCACCAGTTAAGACTTCAGCAGATGAAGGAGAAAGTCCATTTTTGACTTATGTAGTCATTCCAGCCACCATAATTGATAAGTAAACTCAATATGAATTATCAAATAAATGCTACTGCTTATTAGCTTCAAGTATGCATTTTTAATTACAATTTTGAAAATACCAATGAATTTTGTAGAGAACACCAAAACAGAGACATGTACCATTCTCTTCTGGAAAAGGGTAAATTACTTTTTCGTTTTGCTGCAGTACCAGGGATTGAACTCAGGGCCTTGTGCCTGTAAGGCAGGCACGGTGCCACTGAGCTCAATCCTTGGCCCCTGAAAGGTAATTACTTTATTAACATATGTGGTAGGAATGTCTCTGGGTGATTTAGTTTCTTTCATGTTCTAGCACCACAAGGATTTTAGTTGAAAGCCACCCAAGACCAACTTTCACAAATTCTGTATCTTATGATGTAGAAAGGCACATAATCATTATGCTCATTTCTGCTGTAAAAACCTATAATAAGGGTACATCATCTGCATACGTGAATGGAAATCTGTGTCTTGATACTCCTTTACATGAAGAAAACCAAGGACGGAAAACATGGAATCCAACAAATCCATCTAAATTTGTCAATTCTGGCCCTAATCACAAAGTATCTTGTGCTGCTTAAGAAGTCAGCCCATGCTGGGACAGCTGAGAGGGAAATGGTGCTGGGACTAAGTAATCAGCCACCACGTTATCAAAAACTGAGCTGAATTAACAGCATGTCACCGAGATGTTCGTCCTTGCATCCTTCTTGCCGGGGAGTGGTCATCTCTGGTATGAAGAGCTGAATAAAGCTCACAAAGTTAGGAAACTGTGGGTAAAGCCACTCTTCTGCTGGTCAGCTGGCAGAATCAAAATTCAAACTTGGGTCTGTCAAACTCTTAAATTATTGACACAGTCAATGTCATCCACCATGTCACAGACTTTTTGGGTTTTTTTTTTCAGGGGTAAAGAAAGAGTCACTGGCCAAATGCATTAGAAAACTCTCCAATTCATTGATTTTCCCACAAGGATAGATAGTAAGAATTTTATAATTTAGAGTCAAACTAAAGGAAGGAAGGGAGGCCTGGTTCAAAGGTCAGAAGCAGCAGAAGTCAGACGTAATTCTGAGCCATTCAAATGGTCAGATTGTTGCTGTTTATTTAAATGCACGTAACACTCAGGCCCCTTTGCAACCTTAAGCAAAGCTGAGGCAAGCAGCTCACCTCACCCATGGTAGTAGATATACTGCAGATGTGAATGCAGCTGCTGGTTCCCTAAGTAGTCTATGTAGCACCCTGAAAAGGAACTGCACCCCCGCAAAGGAGCCCCTCCAGCTCCCTCACACATGACACCGTTTCGCATGGAATTTGTAGGCATTTGAGTTGTTATTTGACTAATCCTATGACCTTGTTATTTAGTCACCGCTTGAAAGAGAACAAACTTTCACCTTCAAATACATCAAAGTTCTTGGTCAACAAGACTTGTCAGTCAGTCAACAAGAACTTGCAGAACACACACAGGTACATAGAATTTTATAATAATTGATGTTTATACCTTCAATTCTCAAGGAACTCAAACCTCTCATTTGCTTTGTTTCCCTTATTAATCAGTCAAATATTTACTGAGCCACTCAGCTATGGAGGCGGCATTGTTTGATGCAATAGGGAAGATTAGGGTAGAGCCTGCAGTGTAGTTAGCTACAGATGGAAGAGCCAAGGTTCTTATTTGTCAGACAGAAAGTGAAGAAAGGGTCCAAACAGGCACCTTCAACACTGAAAGAGCAGGCAGGCTTGGGAACATGGGACACACAAGAAACATGTGGGTGACAACCAAATGAAGAAAGAAGCACAGGGAGGTTAGCTAAGAAAACGTCAGCACATACTCATCTCTTCATTGAAAACACTTAAGAGTCTGAGCACCAGTTATGAGCTCGGTGTTACTTAAGACACTGAAGTTACTTCTATAACTGGACATCGAAAAGTTCGGCATGGGAAGAGATGAAGGCTATAAATAAACATAAGAAAGATAAGGACTAGAGAGGAACAGTGGGAAAGGAGGAAGGGGTGGCATTCTGAGGGAGGTACCAGGGCAAGTGATCTGATATCACCCGACAGAGACCCAAAGAGAGGCAGCGAGCCGCTGGCAAGGGGCTACGGGATGGCTGCACGGTAAGAGCAACTGCCCCGAGGCAGGCAAGAGGGAAGAGGCCTCAAGCTGCTACTAGGGGTCAAGTCTGCACGGCACTGGAAATGGGAAGGCGGCAGTGTGTAAGCTATGTATGATAACAGGATGCTGACGACAGCAAAACGATGAGAACACCCACACGTGATAACCAAGGCAAGGGAAGTCTGCGTGGGATGCTTTCCTAGGAGGAGAGGGAAACCCAGCTGGGATTTTCAAGGCAGAGCCAGTGCCACTTCACAGTAAAGTCCTTTTGTCCGGGAAGACAGAGCTGATTAGAAAGAACTATGCTCGGTAGTAATAAAAAGAGAGACACTGGGGTGAAATAAAGATTACAGACTGAGATACAGTGAGAAATTAGAACGGGTAAGAGAAGGCTGGAACAGCTGGTGTGTCTTGCGTCCTATGACTCAAGGAGGACGTGAACCCAGAGTCCAAAAGCCCAAGCATTACTAGAAGTCAGCTGAACCAGCCACATTTTCCAGAAGTAGGACTGAGAATAAGACTGCCCTCATTTCTTTTCCGCCTTTCAAGTTTGGCACATCCCTTCTCAACATGTTTAAATTTTAAGCATCCAGGTTTGTACATAATCATCAGACTTTGTGAATAAAGAACTGCCTGAAAATCAGCAACAGACACGAGAAGACCTAACTGTTGGAGCTGCCTCTGCAATTCACATTTCCATGTTAAAGCTCGAGATTTTAAAACGAATGTCTAAAACTTCACCTTATTACGTTTTCCTGTGCTAGGGAAAAATGAAAAATATTCCGCAAAGAGTAAACAAGGAATAGCCTCCGCCCAACAATGTTGAGCAGTATTCAAAGTCTAAAGGGCTAAAAGAGGCCAGGGCTCGACACACAGTGAGCAGAAAGAAAAGGCACAGGGTACTTACGGTTTTCCTCCCGGGATGCCTGTCAGGTTCGGAGGTATCGCTGGCACTCGCATGTGATGGTGTGGATCGAATCCCACCTGGAATTTTTCCCACACAAAAGAACAAAAACCAACAGTTACATTAACTTACTTTATCCTAGTAATCTTTCTTAAAACCTGCAGAAACAGATCCTCTGAAAATAAAAATTTTAGAGATAAAGATACAAGTATTCACTAAAAAAACAGTTATATCTTTAGGATTTAATGGTCACACACTAAGGCTGGAAAACGTATTAACAAAATTGTACTACTGATTACCAAAGCTCATGACAGAATGATGGGTTAATTATATTCATTATGTTATCTAATTCTGTGGATTTAAAATTTGCAAAGTAAAGCTGATTTTAAAAAAGATGCAAAAAAAAAAGGAACTTTCTTGCTTTGTAAAAGAAAATACATCTCAAGCTATCACACGCAGCTTTACTTCCAAATGCGCTCAGATCCCTCCAGAAAACTTCATTGTCATAAAAACGACACTGAGCAAAGATGGATGCTCTCCTCTGGGTCTGAAGCAGTCCTCTGCGGAAACATACCACTGGCGATCTTCCGTAGGCTGCAGCGGCAGCGGCGGCGGCGGCAGCTGCGCTCATCTGCGGGGAGATGTTGTGCAGGCCGGCGTAGGCGGCTCCGGGGCTGGTCAGTTCCCCGTTCATCCCAGCATGGGGCACAATCCCAAACGGCGTCGGATAGGGACAAGGGACAGCCATTGGGGTCCTCAGGCTGGACGCTACAGACCAAGACGGGAGGAGGGGAGAGAGAAATCCAAGAACACAGGGAGCGATATCGAAGACATTCTCAAAAATGTTTTTTGTTTTTAAAGTACAATCTGTGGTTCAAATGAACTTATTTGAATATTCTCCAAAGTCATTCAGAGGGCTTCATTCGTTCACCGTACCTTACTGAACACCGAGCGTGTGCTAGACATGCTTAGTGCCAGCCACCTGGTGATACATCACCACTCAATGCTGGCTACTAGTACTGTTAATGTATTGCCCTACGTAAGTCACATTAACTTTTTTAAAAACAAAAGCATAAATACAATACAGAAACTTTTTCTTACTAACCCAAGGGGTCCACTCCTGGTGGTTTCCCAGATACCGGCCTCAGTCCCGGAGTGGAGTTACTGCCTGGGGTGGGCGCATCAGTTCGCGGAGTAGGGGTATTGGACTTTGAAACAGGAGTAGTAGATTTTTCATTCTAACAAGAGATGTAATGAAATGTACCAGTCATGAGGATATGGTTTTAACAATGAGGTTAGCATTTAAAAGGGAAAGAAAACAAAAAGGAAAGGAAGGAGAAAAAACAGAAGAGACGACTCAGCTAGGGTCCTTTTCTTGCATTAATTAAAAAGAGGTAGTAAGAAAAGGAAAGGGACCAAAGTTCATGAACACATGAGCTGAAACTGGGCTCTGAAGCTAAAGACAGCTGACAAGTGATGGTGTCCTAACTGGTATCTAGTTTGAGACTGAGCAATTTAATTTGGGTTTCTTGGGGAATGCTCATCCCACAAGTGGCCTCCTGTTTAATAGGTCCCATTAGAAAAGACCGAAGACCGAAGCTTCAATCATCACAGAAACCCAGCAAGAGAAGGTGCCATAAAAAAGGCCAGAAGAAAACATAACAAACCCCCCCTTTAATCTAGCCTTCTGCGAGATTACAGTATCTCCCCAACTTGCACTCAACTTGCAGACTTCCTTTTTGGTGTGAATTCAAAAGATCATTTGAAAACTAAATTCAGCTCTTTAAAAAAAATGTTAACATTACAAAAAATAACCAGTAAGGAGAAAAGACACACCACACAGGAATGCAATTACACAAACACAGAAGGAGGAGGTGCAGGGAGATTATCTTGACTCGTGAGCAGCTCATTTTTGCATTTGTGATTTGTGGTGTGAGTCGAAGTACACTTTTGTAAATGACAGATTCCTTTTCAGATAGGAAGGGAAAATTATTGTAGTCATATGTAGCTTGGTGATTCACGCACAGCTAGTAACACAATGATACCAAAGCCCCAAGCTAAGTTTACCATAAACCACAGGCAATAAACTCATCTCTGCAAGCCCAGTGTGTATATTTCATCTTCATTAAGACACGTTTCACTCAACTTCTCCACATAACTCTCCTATATTTACAGAAGACTCACAATGCAAACACCTGTTAGCAAAGCCAATTCTGTCCTCAAAATGCTTTAGTCAGTTAAACGTAAACTACCGAATGGATGTACATGCATTTGGAAATCAAGACCCTATAGAAAAGTAGGCAGAACTCATACAACATATACAAAATTAAAATTAGACCCAACTATCTTGAAATTGGCAAGAAAATTGGAACAGAGCAGCTTACAAGGCTAAGTTCTTTGGATTTGGAGGAAGGAGTACTGCTGGAAGATGCGATGGAGGCAGGGCTGATCGGGGCATCTTTCTTGAGCAGGCGAGTCTTGTCCAGGCCGTTCTCACGAGGGGAATGTGCTGGGCTCGCTCGGGGGGAAGAAGGATCCTATAAAGGAAGATCAGAGGCAATAAAACTCACTGCACATCCACAACACTGGGGGCTTTCTGTGGGGCCTTTCAAGATGAATACATAATGTCCTGCAATAGACAAAATTCACTGAAACTGCTAGAGGAAATATTTGGTACAGAGGCCAAAGAAAATACTATAGTAGTGACAGTATTTATTTAAAAGAAAACAAAACAAAAATCAAAGAAACTCTACCAATCTGCAAGCTGGTTGCCAGTGAGATCTGCAGGTTCACCAGACATCCGCTGTGCATTCAGCGTGGTAGAAAAAGACATAGGTATTTCATAGGAAATAAGGTCACAGAAAAGGACCAGTAACATATAAACTCAGCAATACATAATTTGCAACGTGAACGATCTATTTCTAAATTAAGAAAACAGTGGGCAATGATAGACTGGCCACTGGCCTGTGTTACAGCCGGGTAAGAGGAGCAGGTTAAACTAGTCATAAACATACCTCATTAGAAACATCCACCACCAAGTTGTCGTCACTCTTCTCGCCGTCGCTGTCCTGCATGGAAAATTGAGAAGCATCACCTCCTCCGCCAGTCAAAAGAAAATCAACGACGATAAATCACAAACTGCCAAATTTACCCCGAGTTCAGAATGAGTCTTTTCTACCTTAGAAACTTGAACTGTACCCAACAGTGCTAAGCACTCTGTAGTGTCCTATTTTCTTTTGTCTTCATGATGATGTTAGGGAGCAATGGTTCCGATTTCCAGCAGGAAACACTGAAGATGACAGCCTGCTTATCACTCTGCAATAGAGGATGCAGACCGGCACGCCCAGGCTAGTTCCACTGACAGAGGGCTGTGGTCTGGTCTGTGCTTTAAACACTGGAGTAAGCAGCCACACACACCGAGAGGTGGAAATGCCTACTGGAGGAAAATGAGCCAGGGACATTCTGGATGTCTGTACACCTTGTCATTCACAAAATCTGCTATGTGCCCCAGCGCACAAGTCCATCCAAGCGTTTTAAGTAGTGCATGATCTTCCACCTCTCCTCAGCATCTCCACCTAACTAGAAAACCCAACCATCTTGAAATATGCAGCGGGAAGTAAACAGCCCTATGGCAACAGGAACACAGAATGCCCAAGTCCATCTGTTGCGGATGAAGCACTCTGTGCATGTGCCTGTACACACGTGGGACCTTTGCTGGCCAACACAGACCGAGTGAGACCGGCAATGATCACTTCTTCTCCTAAAGGGTGTTGTTATGCTTCACCCTGCTGTTGACTAATAAGTCAAAGGGTAGGATGGTTACTGATAAAAAAGCAAAGCAAGCTGGCCTCCCTACAAAACAAAGGTGAATGAACTTACATAACGAGCTGCAATTTCCTTTTCTTCAGTTTTCTGCTTTTTGGTCTCCGAGGAGTAGTCTGTGGAGTTTCTGTGCTTCTCAGAACCTCGGAAACTGGCTGATGGGGATACTGAAGAGCTCTGGAATTAGAAAGAGAAGCAGAGTTGAGAAACGACTGTCCGTTTAACTCTGACTTTTTAAAATTGCTGGAGACTTTTTTCTCTTATTGTTCTGTAGTTCATACTTGGAGATGAGAGACAAAATGCGATAAAAGAAAGAAGCGAACAAAGATACAAAAAGAAAAAGACAGAGGGGAAAGGATGGGGAAAAAAGAAAAGACCAAGTAAGAGGAAGCAAGAGATGGACAGAGGCAGGAAAGAAATTAAAAAGATTGGCAGGGGAGGGCCAGGGATTTAGCTCAGTGGTTCTGCTGCCTGCCTCTCAAGTGCAAGGACCCAAGTTTGATCCCCGGTACAAAAAACAAAAACAGAAACAAGAAAAGATTGGCAGGGGAGAATGAAAACTCAGAAGACAGAGTTTGGCCTCAAGCATGTGTTTACCTTGTACTGTTTACAATACATTTAAAAAGTTGGATTAAAAAAGCAGATACAAGACAAAAGGAGGGGAAAAAAAACCAGGGTTTTCTTTTCTTACTTTGTTGGCTAATGGGAGGAAAGTATTTCAAACTTAGAGCGACAACAGTGAAACTATGAGTAGACGTGACCTTAGAGATAATTGTAATTTTTCAATGAAAACAAACAAACAAACAAACAAAACAAAACAGAAACCAAAAAGGGTCCATGCCTCTGAACATCACAGTCAAGAACTATCTGTATGGGGTGAGGCTGCCTCCTCCTTTGCTCTTTCGACAAGCTCTTAACTGCAAGAGTCCCCTACACAGGAAAGATACACCAGCGACAAGACCTGAAGCCAGGGAGGGTGTTTCTCCACCACGAAGACCACAGTTACTGGCCACACTTAGACGGTATGAAAAGACTGGAACTCTTCTTAAGAAATGGCTAGCTGGGCATGGTGGTGCACTTCTGTGTTTCTAGCACTCGAGAAGCTGGGGCAGGAGCTCCGCTGAGTTCAAGGCCAGGCTGGGCTCCAAAGTGAGTTCAAGGCCAGCCTGAACTACATAGCAAGGCCCTGTTTCAAAAAACACCCACTCAAAAATATCTTTTTAAAAAAGACAGAGAGAAAGAGAGGGCGGGAGAGAGGGAGGGTGGGCCTAGAGACTATGTGACAGACTCAGCAGAGAGAAGACCTAAATAAAACTGAGGAGCACGATGGAGCTGGACCCAAGGCAGGATGGACCTCATAAAGGTGTGAGTTACAAAGTTCCTTAGATGGGCACCAGGGTAGGACCCCCAAGGGTGACGTTAACCCAGCTTGGTTAAGAATGGACTAAATTAGAGAGCAGAAAATAGGTTTGGAGATAAACTATCTAAGGACAGAGCTCTAGGAAGAACAGAATCACCAGGAGAGTCTCTCTGCCTGGTATCCAAAATCATTTCAAGAAACTAGTAAAGCTCTCCTCATTTAAAGCTTCCCTTGTCTCATATAAAACTTTTTCTTTTGTTTTGCTTTGCTTTATCTTAGGCTGTTGGTAATAATTAACACCTATAAAGATATACAGCATTTACAAGGGCTTTTACCCTAATTACGAGATGGTGTGACATCCATAACTTCTGGCTCCGAGTTCCATTTCCAGCGAATCACAACACCATGTTTGTGTCATCTTTAAACTGTGCTCCTACTTTGTTTTCATATCACAACCCAATGGCTTTTACGACCCCTGAAATTGTACACGCAAATACCTTCTGTAAGCTGCTACCCCATCATAACCTCTCAGGTTTCTTCCCTTTCAGAATATCCCTCACGTTTCTAAAATTCATATTGCTCAAAGAAAGACTCGGCTACTTCTCCTTAAAAAGATCGAATGGTCCCCTAGTGTCCACAGGGGAAATTCCTCAGTGAGGCTGCTGTCCAAATTCCTCACTCCCTGCTCCGATCCACGGTCCCGCCTTTATTCCCCATCTCAGCAGTATGAACTTATGCTCCCCAAAAGTCTGTGTATTTTTACTGCATCGGCAGCCTTCCTCCCCAACCCCGGCCCTATGGGAATCTCCTCTCACCCAGACTCTTTCCTTTTGAAACCCTCTTTGTCTGGAAGAACCCACTCTGAGGTCACTTTTCAAAGCTTCCTCAGATGCCGTCAGGCAGAATTAATCACTCATTCCTCATTGCTGCCTTGGCATTTTGTTCATCCAATGAAAAGAGCACGTGCAATAAAAGCAATGCTATTAGTTTACAAGTCCACCTCCCACCTCAGGGTGCGGCTTCCCTGGGAGCAGAGGCATCCAGCATAGTGAGCAGTTCAGAAATGTATTTGAACACGAATGACTGAACTAACCCTCTGCACGGAAACCTCCACCTTGATCTAAAAATTCATGTGCTTTACTGCTGAGGGCCCCTGGAAATAAGATCGCAGCTGTGTCCCTGTGGAACTGTAATAACTCTGTCCCTTCTCTTTTACTCCTTCACTGCACTAATTTGATATTTTACAGAGAGACTAAGTGTATATGCATACCATTAACAACTATCTGAGCCTTCTGATTTTAACAACCTACTTTATTTCCATTCTTGCAAAAACTGATTTCTGTGCAATAATGAAACAAGTTCTTTAAAAACAGTACTAAATGTGAATGCCTATTTAAATCTTAATGCTTATTTATCAGCATACACGTACAGCCAAATAGCTTTATTTTTCTTAAGCTGACTGTGTTCGGATTGTACAGACAGCATTTTATTGCAGAACACACTTATACTTTGGAGTTTGCTAGTAAAACAGTACTGTTAATTATCACTAGCATTTAAAGGTGCAGCTGCCCAATGCGTCCTGATGCAATCAGCAATATTCTAATAACATAACTGTTCTGGAGTCAAGCTGGACTTGGCAACAGCTCTCATCACAAATCTTACAAATCTGTGAGTAGGAAGCCACTTGGATCTTTGCTGGGCAGATAAATAGGAAGAATTATGCAAATTCTGGTAAAAGACAGTCACACTTTTACTAGAAAAGCTTATTTTTTAATTTTGTTATTATTATTTTAAAACCTCAACTAGTTATTTCCATAGCTTATGTAAGAAACTTGTTGAAGCTGCACTGTACAAACCTACAAATTTAGAAACAGTAAGAAGTTTCTTCATTAAGTTTGATCACATGTACAAGCATGTATGCTATGAATGGAAAGTCAGTCAGAGGCAACGGTCAATCCAGAGAGGGTAAAATAAGGCACCCTGAATGTGAATGTTTAGTAAAGCTCCACAATCTAAAAGAGCACACATTTTTACTGGAATATTACAAAAAGAATAAGGTACATTTGCTTAATGAAAGAAAAAAAGAAAAGGAAAAATAATAAAAAATTACGTTTTATATGAAAATTCCAGTTGCATTCCCTGGAAGCACAAGCTTTAAAGATAAGCTATTCCTCAGCTTACAAATCAGGTTGTAGAAAATTCTACAACTGGATTTGAAATCTATCTTTTATGGAGTCTGGTGACGAGTCCTCCGGCAACATGAAAGGGATTGCCCAAACCTCCACCTACTCCTCTGCCCCTTCTAGATCAAAGAGATGGTGCAGGTGACAGAGTGAGTTCTAAAAGTACCCTCAGCCCTGCTCAGGAAGGTAGTGGGACTTAATTAGCTGGTTTTAACAACAGGGAGCACAGCTTTTAATGGCAGGCAAGAGCACCTCTCGGCAATCTGGCTGTTTGGGTTGTAGTGTACAGACTTCCACTTACCTGTAGTGCAGTCCTAGGAATGCTGCCTAGTCAGTCTCAGGCCTCTGCAGCCTGGGGCACCAACCTCCTATCCCCACCTCCACTGGGCTACTCTGAGGACTAGGAACAATAACCCACAGAAACTACAAGGCTTACAGCCTGGCCCCTAAGCGGTAGCCACTCTGGTACCATCCCTACATACTGCAGTCTAGCTGTTTCTATGTGCTACAGAAATTGGGATGGTGAACTAGTGTGAATATTCTATTTTAAAACGCTGGTACTGGGGCCAGGGATTTAGCTCAGTGGTTCTGCCACATGCCTTGCAAGTGCAAGGTCCCGAGTTCAATCCCTAGTTTAAAAAAAAAAACAAAAACAAACAAACAAACAAAACAACCCACAAAAAAACAAATAAAACCTCGGTACGAGCTATTCTAGGCATTTGGGTAGTACTTCCCCTGTGCACTGATATTCGGATGGCCCATAGTGATAGGGTTTCAATAGGCTGCTATTAACCAAAACACATCTCCTTTCAACAATCACACTGAGGTTTTTGGTTCGATACTGCAATGAGATAGGACTACAAATAATCTCCACAAAAGACTTTCTAATTTGATTTCAAATGCACAATCAAGCTAATTCTACTTCCCACTCACACTGCAGGCTCAGGCGTACTGCTCAGTTCTCTGTGCCACCTTTCAGAATGACAACCAGAAGTCATACTAAAGGTCGAGTGAAAACCAGCATCAAGAACCCTAAACTCATGAAAAAAGCCCCTCTAGCTGGTCCTGGTGGGCGAGGCCTATCATCCCAGCACTCTGGAAGGCTGAGGCAGGAGGATGAGGATCTCAAGTCCAAGCCCAACCTGAGCAACTTTCAAGACCTCGTCTCAACATAAAAAATAAAAACAGGGCTAGAGATGTAGTTCAGTGAGATGTGAGTTCAGTGAGAGATGTAGTTCAGTACCCCCACACACACAAAACTCTCTATTTAGTACGAAAGGGGAATCAGTTTTCAGGCAAAGAAGGCACAGAGGGCACCATGAAAATCTGGTCATGGTGACTGCAAATCTTGGTTTGCAGTTTGCTGTCCAGGCTTCCTTTCCCTCTCACAAATACTCCAGTTTCAATGATAAATTACACTGTTACTAACAGTTCCTCTGATACAGGAATTTTCCAATGTCCATCTGGGGAGCCTGATTACACTGGGGTAACAGGGAAGGGAGGTGGAAGATCCCTGCAGTCTCTTTCCTGACGCCACAACCAGATCCCTCAAACATCGTTTCCTCTGCAACACCTTCGAAATGCAAGAGACCAGGGTCTAGACCAGAAAGAAATACGGGTGGCTTTCTTGAGCT